AATTATCTAATGGTTTAATGTATGTGGCTATTGTTCGGGACGAACAATACTAAGGAAGGGGCAGTGTTACGACAGCGGAAGTCACGTGACTCTGGTAACACGTGATGAGTTCTAGAAAGATCGGGCAACATCACGAATAATCCAGTATTTGTTAGGCACCTTCTATTCTTGTATATAAGTGTGCCAGACAATTAATCGGAATGAGAATTGCAGAGATAGAGACGGACAATTGAGTCAAGTGTGGTAGTAAGTAAAGTGTGTGAATCGTTCGTTGTGAATTATAGCGTGTGTTTAAGTTAAACTGATTGTGGAAATTAAGTGTATTTCAGACAATTACTCGGAATGAGAATTGCAGAAATAGAGACGGGCAATTGAATCAAGCGCGGTAGTAAGTAAAGTGTGTGAATCATTCGTTGTGAATTATAGCATGTGTTTAAGTTAAACTGATTGTGGAAATTAAGTGTATTTCAAAGTTGAATTGAGAAAGAATAAACTAGTTTTATTAAAGAAAAGGCTTGTATCGCTGAAGTTTCTCGGAAATAATTTCTACTAAAAATTAACAAATGAACACAGAGACGTAACAGGATGTTTTACCTTTGTTTTAATAAAAACAAGCTTATGACTTTATTACTTTGAATTGCTGAGTAATAAATAAAATTTTAATTGTTCTTTTTTCAGTTTATTTGTTGAACTAAGATTTGTTTTTATTTAACTTGCTTAATTTAATTATTGTGTTAGCAGCACCAATATATAACAAATTTTTCTTCTTACATATCACCATCGAAATACTTGATTTTTCAAATTTCACGCAATACTAGAAATTGTTGACATTGTTACTATTGTTGGGTGAGTTATTGTGTAGTAGTCCAAGGACTAAAATGTTGCATATGCATTCTTTGATAGATAGTTTTGGCAGAGTCTTCATATTGAGTTGACTGTGAAATGAGTGACAATTGCTTATTAGAGAAACACTTGAAGAAATATATTGGTGGCTATACAATCTTCTTAAGCAGCTCCAGTATAGAGGACGACTTTTCAAATGTCTTCCACCTATGGATGTGTTGAACCACTGAAAGACGAGCAAAGAAACTTTTAATGTTTCTCTCACTAATCCATTATGATCCCCCTATACTAAAAAAGGAAGTTAAATTAAAATAAAACCCTTAAAACTTAAACACAACAGTTAAATGAAAGCTTTACAAACACTCAGAAAGTATAGGAAAACCTACGTGAAAGTCTCTATATCTAAAGCTCTAGGCAAACGTTTTAGCAAAATTTATAGGTCTAAAAATATCTATCAACAAGATTAACAGGAGAGAACAATAACAAAGCCAGACTGCTCCTGCCAAGCTCCTTGTACACGCGACCTAGAACCATATGCGTTCGAGCAGTAGAGGCGTTGAGGCTCCGGGAAATCACGCAATTCGAGACATCACAATAAAATAGCTATGCTCTTTGCAAAAAAACGAGCACAATGGCCAATCTCTAACAAAAAAGGCTCATTTCCTTTGTCTCTCTGTCGAAAAGCTTTCACGCTCCTATTTTTGGTAATGCTCAACAATATACATCGTTGCTTAGCAACAAAACTATCACCTGATTGTTCTTAGGCCAACTATGGTGTTTATGTTGAATGCTCAATATTCTTGTTGATTTGTTAAGAAGGTCTGTTTTTTATTCTTTGTTTTTGATAACTTCGGTGATATAACAGCAAAATAGTTTAATTCAGAAGTTTATATATATATATATATTAATTTGGTATTTTAACACATATATTACCTACTTGGCCTTAAACATAATGAAATATAAACGTTTATTACTATCAAGTATATTCTATCCTTTGTACAGTCGAAAGAGTTGAAAATTTGTGTCGCAGTGTCCGCACTATGTTTCTACTTCCTGACCAGTGCCCGGCATGGCCAGGTGGATAAGGCGCTCGACTCACAATCTGAGGGTCGCGGGTTCGAATCCGCATACCACCAAACATGCTCG